CCCCCTCCCCCTGCCGCCCGCCGCCGCTGCCGTCGCCGGCGCCGGCGCCGCCGGCGGCGGCTCCTCCTCCGCCTCCTCCGCGTCCAACCCCGCCGCGCGCGCCGCCGCCGCGTCCAGCGCGTCCGCCGCGGCCTGCTGCGCGCTGATGTCGGCGTCGGGGTCCACGCCCGCGGCCGCGGGCACCTTGCCGCGCTCGACCGCGTCCTTGTAGGACCGCGCGGCGGCCAGCAGGCCATGGGGCAGTACAAGGCGGTACTTGGCCGGGTTTGAGTGACGCGACACCAGCGGCGGGTCGCGATTGATCAGGCCCTTCTGCGGGGCGTCGCGCGTGAAAGTGTATGATTTATCGGGGGCAACGCACGGTCGGCACGCCTGTGAGCTCTCTTGCACCGATGAAGCGCGCGTAGACAGTCGCGAGGCAGCGACACTTGGCAGCGCAGCCCTGCACCGGCCGCTGCCAGCATCGTGTCCGCCCGCCTGCGATGCAGCGTGGCCTCTCCCCCTCCGCGCCAGCCCCCCTTCACCCCCTCTCTCTCTCTCCCTCTCTCTCTCTCTCTCTTGGGGCCCGCTCCCCCTGACCCAGCCCAGCCCGCACCCCCCTCTCACGTTGACGTTGCTCCAGCCGTTGTAGCGGTCCTTGGCGCTGGCCGACCAGGCGTTGCTGGGCCGCATGGAGACATCGCAGAGCCCCGCGTGGGCCGTGGCCGCGTCCAGGACGGACTCCTTGAGCATGCAGGCCTCGCCGCGCTTGTAGGACTATTTGGGGGGGCGGGGTGCGGGGTGCGGGGGAAGGGGCGTCGGGTGCAGGGGGGAGAGGGAGAGGGAGGGAGAGAGCATATGCGCGACGTGCACGTGTTTTGGTGCGTGCGCGTTTACGATGGGTTGACGACGTGCGTTTGTATGACGGATTGATGAGGGGTGTGTCAGAGGGCGTGTGTCATGCATGGAGGAGGTGTCACCGTCCACCCACCGGCTAAGACACCTTGCGATGCAACCATTCAATCCACCCACCCAGCCACCCTCCCAACCCATCCCACCCCAACAGCCCACCATGTAGAGCACCACCAACACAGCATAGTTGCCAGTGCCCGGCGCCGGCAGCTTGGGGCCGCCCGTGGGCTTCGCGCGTGGCTTCTTCCGAGCCGCCGCCTCGCCGCCGCCCACGCCACCCGCGCCGCCCGCGCCGCCGCCGCCGCCTTCGGCGCCCGCGGCGGCGCGCTTACGCGCTTGCTGGGGGCGCTGCTGGGCGGGCGGCGCTCCGCCGTCGGTGCCCTGCTGCGCCCCGGCAAGCGCCACCGCGCGCTGCGCCATGTCCTGCCATGCCTGGGACTCTGCGGCGTCGTTTGTGGAGGAAGGAAACGCTTCGCGCACGCCATCTGATGCCATCGTGCGGGTCGTTGGAGCGGGGCCCTTCGGGTAGCTGGCCGCTGGGCGCACTTCCTGATCAACTTCACGGCCCCTTGCCACCCGATGTCACTCCAGTGCAGCAGCATTGCAAGCGGCATGAGTAAAACCCCTCAAAACCCACCGCCCAGCGCGCTCCTCAGCGCCTCCAGAGGGTCGTGGCTCGCCACTCGTGGCGCGGCCACGCCGCCCGCCCGCGCCCCCGCAGGGGCGCCAGAGCCGGTGGCCGTACGGGGCGGCGCCACGGGGACGGGCGCGGGCGCGGGGGCGGGCGCCGCGGCTGCTTTGGCGGCTGCTTTGTGGGCCTTTGCCTCTGCTTTGGCTTCCGCCTGGGGGTTGGCGTGGCGGTGATGTGGCGGCGATGTGGCGGTGGTGGCGGCGACAAATCGTTATGGTGGCAGTGGAAACGCAAGGTGCATGGCTGCGACGGCGACCCCCACAGCGCACGTTTGCACAATCAGCTTGCTCCTCCGCGCGCACTGGTGTGCCGTCCACAGCGTCCAACCACTTATTCTATGAGCCCTCTACACGCAAGCAGCCCTGTGCAGGCAGCCGCGGCCCGCCCGCGGCGCCGCTCTACCTCGCACAGCTGCCGAAACTCCCGCTCCTCCTCGTCCTCCTCATCCGGCGGCGACACACTCCACAGCACCTCCATGATGATCTGTGAACATGAACGCGTTCCCATTCGCGACCGCGTTTTTGGGCATCGCCAACTGCGACAGCGTTTCCCGCCACTCAGCACACTGGTCAAACCTCTGGCCGCGCCCCGTGCTTTGCGCGCTTTGCCCACCTCCGCTATGCAGCTGTGCACTGTTGCGCAATATGGAGTGCAGATTCAGCCAAACACTCACCTTGACTGTCTTTGGGCCGAAGCCCTTGAGCAGCAGCAGCTGCTCGGGCGCGCAGACGCGGTACGCGCAGCCCGACAGGCTGCGCAGCGCGCCGGGCAGGGACTTGCTCAAAGGTGCGTCGTCGGGGCGCTGCATATCCCGCAGCTCCCTGCGTCCAGCAGTGCAGGTTTATATTTGTGTACGCGTGCATCGCGATGTTTTGTTACAAGGGCGAGCACGCAGAGCCTGCGCGAGCATGTGTTTGCAGCCTGGGGTTGGCACTGGGCCACTGAATGCAGCTGTCCCACTTTGTGGCCTTCGCCCCATCCCTTTGCTCGCGCCTCTGAGCGCGCCCAATCACTCGCCTGAGGAATAAGAAGAGCTCTGCATTGCCGGGGTTGGCCACCAAGCTGCTTATTCGCGAGGCTAGCGCGTCGCTGCCGGCCTGCTCGCGGGCGCGGCGCGCGCATTCCGAGTAGCCAGCCTCGTTTCTCCCCATCGTGGAGCAGTGTCACAGATACAATGTGCCTGGTGTCCTCAAGCTGCAGAGCCCAATATAACTCGGCGTGTCCGCATTGTGCTGCGCGCGCCAAACTTGATCAAGTGTGATCTAGTAAGCATGTCAAATAACAGTGATACCAAGAGCCTGATTTGCCTTGACATCCTTCCTCAGGGGCTCGACAGCATGAATGCCCCTGCCATGATATTGACAGCTCATTGAAACTCGACACAAAGAGGCAGGCGGGTAAAGCAATTTGAAATTGAGCAATGGCGATCAAGCAGGCGCCGTGAAGATGACGAGGGCAGCAGGAGGCGAAAAATTTTCTGCGTAGGCACAAGCACTTCGGAAGGACCTAACCATCCGAATATTACGCAATAATAGTTTCTCATATCGTTGGACATTTTTCGTGGGCTGCAAGCTAAATACCGTGGTGATCTTGGGAACACCGCTAGGGCAAACAGAGGCTTTCAACGCTCGCCAGGATGCTGCCGGCAGCGGCTAACGCAGTCCTGCAGGGCTGCGGGCATCTTGCTGCTTTGGGACGGGTGTGCAGCAGGTGGGTTTGCCACAGATTGCAGCAGGTCTCGCAGAGGCGCGCCCTAGCACGGCGTCTGGCAGCGCGCACTCTGTGACAAAGCAATTTCTTGTTGGCACAGTCGCTGCTCACGTTGAGAGCCGCGCAGCGGCCGGTCGAGCGCCGCCAGGGCGTCCGTGCCAGGCGCGGCGCGGCTGCTGTTTGGCTGTTGCCCCAACGAAGCCCTGGGCACCACAGCGTCGCCCCGCCGCCTGCCGGAATCACACGTCATTCTATCACAGCGTCTCGCGCGCCATGAGCACGGCTGCGCCGGCCGCGGCGCCGCCCGCACCCGAGCGCACTTCATTCGGGGGCCTCAAGGACGACGACAGGATTTTTACAAACATCTACGGCCGCCACGACCCCTACATCAAGGTGCGGCGGCTCTGCGCAGCCATCACCCGTGTGGGTGGGATGCAGCGCCTTGCGCCCGCAGCCCCAAAACGTGGGCGACACCAACAAGCGGACGGCTGCGCCTGCTTGGCCGCCAGCGGCTGCCGCTGCGGCCGCGCACGCGGCCCACTAATGCATGCCTTGCTTGATCTCGCACAACAAAAATGCACCTCTCCAGGGCGCCATGGCGCGCGGCGACTGGTACCGCACTAAGGATCTGGTGCTCAAGGGCAGTGACTGGGTGGTGGATCAGATGAAGAAGAGTGGGCTCAGGGGCCGCGGCGGCGCCGGCTTCCCGTCTGGCCTCAAGGTGGGGGCGGCGCGGGGCCGACGTGACGGCAACAATGGGGCTCGGCGGCGGTGGCAGTGTGTTCGCAGCTGCCGGCGGGGCGGGGGGAGGCAGGCGGCATGTGCAGGGCCGCAAAACATGGAGCAGGCCGCGGCGCTGCATGGGTGTTGGGGCGGCACTGCTGGCTTGGAGCGGCTCCCTGCTTTGGGGGACTGAACAGCACGCCTTCTTAATGCACTGTTCTGACACACGCCTTCATCCCGGCCTCCGTTGCGTCGCTGCTCCCGCAGTGGAGCTTCATGGTGAGGGGCGTCGCTTGTGTGGCGCACTGCTGGGGGCGGCGCGCTGCTGGGGGCGGCGCTCTGCGGGGGCGGTGCCGCCCAAGCCGCGCAGCAGGCAGTGACGGCGGTAGCTCTGTTCATGGCGGTAGAGCAGCTGCGAGGCGCGGCTGTTGACAGGCGCGGGGCGGGTGATTGCGCGCAGCCTGTTCGTCCGGCGGCCGCCGCAGGCCTCACGAGGGGCGCAGCAACGGGCCTCCCCGCGCGCCGAGGCCTCCCTGACGCCCGCCCCCGGCCGCCCTGCTCGCTGCCTGCGTCGTGCCGCTCGCAGCCCAAGGTGTCTGACGGGCGGCCGTCCTATCTGGTGGTGAACGGCGATGAGTCGGAGCCCGGGACCTGCAAGGACAGGGAGATCATGCGGCACGAGCCCCACAAGCTGGTGGAGGGCTGCCTCATTGCAGGTGCGTGCGGTGGGGGGCATGTGCGCGTGTCTGCACAGGCGGCATGAGTATGTGTGGGTGCATGTGTGGGCGTGGGCGGGCTGTTGTGCTGGACTGAGGTGGGACGCAGAGTGGCTCAATCGGACGGCGATGCATCCGCACAGGAGACATGCGAAGATGGGGTTCAAGGGTTAGAGAGATAGGGCAGCATGGAGGCTGAGCAGCGGCTCCGCGGCGGCCCGAATGCTCTGACCATGTCACCTCCTCCACCCAGCCCTACCCTGCGTCCCCATCTCACCCCTGTTGTCCTCCGGACACCCCTCCTGCGCCCGTCCTTGACCAGGCGTCGGCATGCGCGCGCGCGCCGGCTACATCTACATTCGCGGCGAATTCGTGAACGAGCGCCTGTCCGTGCAGCGCGCCATCGATGAGGCCTACGCATCGGGCTTCCTGGGCAAGAACGCCTGCGGCACCGGCTACGACTTTGACCTCATGGTGAGCGGAAATAAATAAATAGCCCCCTGGGCTGTACAAAGACTGAGCGCAAGCGGCGAAGTATTTGTACAAACTTTGTACAAACCGCGTGGCGCCGGGCGTTGATCACTGGGGATATTTTTTGGGACGGGTGGGTCGGAGGCCGGTTGCTGTGGTTGCCCTCACTTGCCCTAAACCCTAGTATCTTCCCTGCCTCGATGCGCTCCCAGCTGCACTATGGCGCGGGCGCCTACATCTGCGGCGAGGAGACCGCCCTGATCGAGTCCCTGGAGGGCAAGCAGGTGCGGCAGCAGGCGGCAGCAGGCGGCATCGGTGCAGCACCAAGCGTGGGCCGTCCTGCGGGCGCGGCACAAGCGCTGACCACTGCAACTCCATCTGATGCAGCCATGTTGACGTCCTCTTGGACCGCGGCCACACTGTGCTGAGCTGTTTCCGCCCCTCGCTTGTACCCTTGCACCAACTTCCCCTCTCCAGCTTCGCCTCGCCACGTCTCACCGCCCCGCTCACACGCCCTGCTGCGCCTTGCGCCCTGCTGCGGCCCCCCCCAGGGCAAGCCCCGCCTCAAGCCGCCGTTCCCGGCCAACGTGGGCCTCTACGGCTGCCCCTCCACCGTGACCAACGTCGAGACCATCGCTGTGGCCCCCACCATCCTGCGGCGCGGCCCCGAGTGGTTCTCGTCCTTCGGCCGCAAGAACAATGCCGGCACCAAGCTCTACTGCATCAGCGGCCACGTCAACCGGCCCTGCACCGTGGAGGAGGAGATGAGCATCCCCCTCAAGGAGCTCATCGAGCGCCACGCCGGTAGGAGGCTGATGCTGCGCGGCCGCTGCTCCATACACAACACACACACCCTCCTGGTCCTGTGTGTAGGTGGCCACTGTGCTGCGGGGGAGTCGTGCGTGGCAAATGGCTGCATCAGGGTCCTAGACTCAGGTCTCAAATCGCCCGTCACCCCTCGCCCTTTGCTCCCGCAACCATGATGCGCGTCCTCGCCGTCTTCCCGTGCTGAACCTTTCCACTGCTGCCACCACCCGTGACACCTTCGCAGGCGGCGTGCGTGGCGGCTGGGACAACCTGCTGGCCATCATCCCCGGCGGCTCCAGCGTGCCCCTCCTGCCCAAGAAGGTGCGCCGCCCAAGGACGCCACCACAGCCGCGCACCGCGACCCGCCCGCCGGTCAAGCCTTGTGCTTGCGGGCAACCCCCTCTGTCGCCTGCGATGATCGCGCGTTTTGTTCGCTGCGAACGCTCACTGCTCTCGCCTCAGTGTGACCGTACGCGCTTTCCCAGCCAAGGCTGCCCTCGACCCACGTCATGCCAAGCCAACCCCTCACCTCCCTTGGAACCCTCCAAACCACCCCCCCCCAAACCTCTCCAGATCTGCGACACCGTGCTGATGGACTACGACGCCCTGAAGGAGGCCCAGAGCGGCCTGGGCACCGCCGCCGTCATCGTCATGGACAAGAGCACCGACGTCATCGACGCCATCGCGCGGTGTGTGCTTGTTTGTGTGTTTGTACGTGTTTGTGTGCGTGTCATCGTGAACATGCCCAGAGTTGTGGGGGCTGGGTTCTGCAAGTGGTTCTGAGCGAGCATTTGGCAGGGCACAACGGGTGAGTAGAAGAGGGACGGGCAACCTGCAGAACCTGGCAGAGGTAAAAATCAATCATGCAGTCTTCATCAGGCCTGTTCGCTCTGTCGGGCTGCACACCAGCTCTCACTCGCATGTTGTCCACACGGCCCAGCACTTAAACCACCCCCGCCCTTTCTCCTTTGGCTGCCGCAGGCTGTCCTACTTCTACAAGCACGAGTCCTGTGGCCAGTGCACCCCCTGCCGCGAGGGCACGGGGTGGCTCTACGACATTATGACGCGCATGGTCAAGGTGGGAAAAGCTGGCTCGGTCGGCCTGGCGCGGCGGGGCGCTTCAGGAACGGGTTTTTTGCCTTACTGCTGGCTGCATGGCCAAGCGGACCCGTGGCTCTGACCCCGTGGCAGACGTTGTGCTTGCGCTAAGGATCAGCGCAAAGGTCACGCCAAGCCGTGAGCACCTTTGTCACCTGCTGTGCAGTATTGCTGGCTCGTACTCATGTCAAATCCATCCACACGCACGAACTCCTCTCCCTCCCTCAATCTCCCCGCCCCTTGAAACAGGGTGACGCGCGGCTGGAGGAGATCGACATGCTGTGGGAGATCACCAAGCAGATCGAGGGCCACACCATCTGTGCCCTGGGCGACGCCGCCGCCTGGCCGGTGCAGGGGCTCATCCGCCACATGCGGTGAGCAGAGCCCCGGTCGCGGCGCGTGTCTCTGGGGTCTACGGCGCAGGGCTTGCCCTTGGTGTGGCGTGCTACGCTTGCGCGCTCCCTGCCCTGATCCAGCACCTGCGTCAGGGGCCCCGATGGTGATTGGACCCTAACCACACATTGCTCACACACACGCATCACATTCGGCCGCCCACATCCCTCCTCTGTCCCTCCAACCAATCCGCCACAGCCCCGAGATGGAGGACCGCATCAAGTTCGCCCACCAGGAGCGCATCGCAGCGGCTTGACGCGGCGGACCTGGACGCTTACTTGCTCTCAAATCGCTTCTGCTCAAGCAGCTCCGTCTCATGGATGTGGGGATGAGGGGAGCAATCCCCGCCCCAACTGCATCACATCTGTTGCATCCGCGACTTCTGCACACCCTGGCCCCCTCGGGTCATGCACCCCCAGCTTAACATCGTGCTCTGGCACATCAACGGGCTCATGCCGTACGTTGTCGTTTGTGTTGCCCTCGCCTGTGTGTTTAAAGCTCTGTCTGGCGAGCGCTCTGGGGGCTGGCAGATGCCGCCTTGAACGTTGACGCCGCCAAGCTTGTATGTGTAATCATCGTCTTCAGACCTGCTTCCAAGCACCATGCAAGCAATAAGCTGGGCCCAAGCTTTGCTCAACAATTGAATGTTGTCTGTGTGCCTCATCATGGTGATGTCAGCGGTGTTTTGACTCGGTGCGGCTTGTGCTGTGTCGTCTCAGCCTCCCTGAAATCATTTAGTACTTGTGAGCGAGCATGGAGTGTGCGCCTACTCGAGGTTTCCTCTGAGATCAGAAAATCTAGTGTGGATCATATACGCTTACGTTTGGACGCTCCTGCCTGTCTATCGCGCGGGCTGATCTCGGATCGCACTCGCGGATCTCGCTTTGACAAGAAACACCCCGCATGCCATCCCGTGCCATATTCCAGGCGAGACCCCTCAATACACCGCATCTCAGTGCAACAGCAGCCTGCACGTCCCATCATCACCGCAGCCGCTGGCTCAGCGGCGCGCAGCCGCGACGCACCATGGCGACCGGCGGCGAGGGCGGGCACACTTACAAGTGGCCGCGGCCTTCCCTAACCGTCGACGCTGCAATCATCGTACAGTCGGAGCCGGGTTCGTCGGAACCGCCATCACTGTTGCTGATTCAGCGGAAGAACCCCCCTTGCAAGGGCCAGTGGGCACTCCCCGGCGGCTTCGTCGACCAGGTGCAGCTGCCTTGCAACTTCCATATCATGACATCAGGGGTAATACCGTGTTGCATATGACGTACACACCACATGCATCTTGACTTGTGCTACCCCCAATCATTGGCCAGTGGGGCACACCAAAAGTGTCGCAACGACTCAGTGACATCACCGTGACACCAAACGCCCCTCTGACCAACAGGACGAGGCCTTGGAGCACGCAGCAGCGCGCGAGCTGAAGGAGGAGACTGGGCTGGACCCGGGGTCGGTGCCGCTGGTGCAGGTGGGCCGTGAAATCGCAGCCACAACCCACAGGGTAGCGGTGGCGGGACTGCTACTGCCGCCGCCAGTGTTGACTGGTAGGAGCAGAGACCAGCAGGGGTTGCGGTGCAACCTGTGGCATGGCCCTGGGAGTAGAGGCATGCCACCCCGCCCCCCCTGTAGCAGAAGGCAGCCGCTGGCAACCAGACCTGGGCCTGCGAACGCTTTACTCAGCCTCTCCCCCTACACACACATACACATACACACACCCTGGCTTGTGCACCTGGCACGCACGTCTCGCGCGCAGGTCGGTGCGTTTGGGGACCCGGGGCGCGACCCGCGCGGCTGGACGGTCACGGTCTGCTATGCCGCGCTGGTGCCGCCGCAGGCGCGGTCGGGCATCCAGGCGGCGGTGAGCGCACGCGGGGTGCTTGCCAGTCATTGCCACTCGGCACGGCTGGAGGCGTCCGTCGCGGTAGCCTGGTGAAAGGCCCAGTCACCGGCGTCCCACTTGATGTTATAGGGCCAGGAGGCTGCAAGCAGCTCGTGAGAGTGTGAAGGGCTGCGTCTCTGTTGCCCCACCCAAAAGACTCTTGCGTCCTCCCTTGCTGCCCCCCGTTCTTACGCGGATCCGCCACGCTTCCACGCCGGCTGCCAGGACGACGCAGCGGACGCGAAGCTGTTCCCTGTGGGCGACCTGCCGGGGCTGGCCTTCGACCACAAGCAGGTCGTCAGGGCGGCCCTGAGGCGGCTGGCAGACCTGCCAGAGGTCAAAGATGACGGTGGGCGCCGCGCGCCGCGCCTTCAAATATTTGACGCAACATGCGGCTCCGCTGAGGGTGCAGTGGCGCGCTGGGGACGCTGGCGGCAATGCGCTTCGAGGGAGGCTCTGTGGTTCGGTCGCTCATCAGCGAGGGCAGCGAGCCACCCGTTGGTTACGGTTCAGTGTTGTGACAAGTTTCAATACCAACAAAAATACTGCTATGGTGCTGTGCGCAGGCGGCATGGCGCGGGAGCTGCTGATGGCGGCAGAGCGCCTGGAGGGCCCATGGACGCCACCCAGAGAGTAGGAGGGCAGACGGCAAGCGGTTTCTTCGGTGTGGTTTGCTGTGTAAGTGTGGACCACAGTCAGCTTCTTAAGCTCATTGTTTCAGTTTGTGAGCACTTGTCTGATTCGACCCCCGGGCACTGCCGTCCCCTTTGCGCCCCACCTGAGCCGTGTGCTCACCATTGGCGGCCAGGGGGGTTTGCGCTTGGTATCGACCCAATGAACACATATGGTGGCTTTGCTCAGCACCTGAAGTGTGCATCATCTGCACATGTGTAAGCGGTCAAAGACATGGTGCGATGCTCACTCTCCGGGGGCTGCGACAGGACGGCATTGCTCTCACGCACTCGCGACACACCGCCGCTTGGCACCACATCCGCCCAGTCGACAGCAGATGTTGTCGGCTGCTTGAAACGACGCGGGCACTGTACCACATACCGTACGTGGGGCAACATACAGTACCTTAAGGCGCTGCCAACGTGCATCTTCTGTTGCGTCGTCGGGTGGCAGCCTACCCGATCTAGGCGTCGTCAGTGGTCGGCCCTTGCCAGTGGATGTTACGAGTGGCTCTATTAAAAGCCATGTCGACACTCTCCGCTGGTGTCGGGCTCTCGGGCTCGCGTTTGGGGGCCGCGCGGCATGGTGGCAAGATATTCAAGCCAGCCGCGGCTGCCCCGTCCAGCTGCGCGCTGCACACGGATATCATGCGCCATCATAAGCCCCGCTGCCAGGCTTTGGGAGCAGGCGCGGCAGTGCTCTCGCTTTTTGCGCTTCGCACGCCGGCCATGCTGATGGCGCGCCCTGCACACCGGCGCGTGCATGCGATGGCGTCAGAGGAGGCGGTGGCGGCGGCGCAGCTGGATGAGGGCACTTTCAGAAACGAGCTGCAGGCATCAGAGGGCGGCGGCAGCGGCTTTGACAGCAGCAGCGGCGGCCCCACAGCGGCAACAGTGACGGCAGCGATCGCACGAGAGGCGCAGGCGGCACAGGAACTGGAGGGCAGCTGGTTGTCTGCTGGTGTCCCGGCCAGCAATGGTGCTAGCAGTGGCACCAGTAGTGGTGCTGCAGCGGCGGCAGTGGCTGACGATGACATCAGCAGCATCAGCAGCAGCAGCACCAGTGAACGAGACGTTGCTGCCGCCTCAGACGACAGCAGCACCGGCAGCCCCAGCAGCAGCAGCAGCAGCAGCAGCAGCAGCGGTGACTCCCTCTCCTCGGCCCCTGCGCTCGACGACCCAGCAGCGGGCGACCCGCCGGCCAAGCCGCGCGGCCCCGCGGCCGCGCCGCCCGTGCTCATGACGTCCGGCGCCTCTATGCTGCCGCACCCCGAGAAGGCGCACCGCGGCGGCGAAGACGCCTTCTTCATCGCCGAGCCCCCGCTCTCCGTCGGCGTCGCCGACGGCGTCGGCGGCTGGGCGGAGATCGGCGTCGACGCGGGCGCGTACGCTCGGCTGTTCATGGTGCACGCGAAGGAGGAGGCCGAGGCGCTGCTCGGCGGCGACGCGGCGCTGTCGCCGCAGACGGTCCTGGAGCGCGCCTACTACCGCACCAACGTGCAGGGGTCGTCCACGGTCTGCATCCTGTCCCTCAACGGCTCCACCCTCTGCGCCTCCAACCTCGGAGACAGCGGCTTTGTCCTCGTCCGCGACGGTGGCGCGGCGTTCCAGTCGCCGCAGCAGCAGCACAACTTCAACTTCCCGTACCAACTCGGCTCCGCCGACGGCGGCGCGAGCGACCACCCGCAGAGCGCGATGCGTTTCGAGCTGACCGTGCAGCCGGGCGACATCGTTATCACTGGGACTGATGGGCTGTGGGACAACGTGTTTGCGGAGGAGGCGGCGACGATCGTGGCGCGCTGCCGGGTGCAGGGCGACGGGCCCGAGGCGGCGGCGCATGCGCTGTGCAGGTGCGCCATGCACGCACGGGGTAGGGCAGCCGGGCTCGCCCGCGCCGGCATTGCTGGCTGTCGTCAAGTGTGCGGGGTGACCATGCACCGGCCGGCGCGGGGCAGCTGCGTGTTGCAAGCCACCCTGTTCTGTGACTGTTCGTGGCCCCTCTCCTCCCTCTCACCCCTCCTCCTTAAACACACACACACACACACACCCAGGTATGCGCGCATGCGTGCCACAGACCCCAAGTACCACTCTCCTTTCAGCTACTCCGCCATCCAGGCCGGATACGTCTTCCTGGGCGGTGAGGGCCTGTTTGTTGTTAAAGACAGGTCTGGGGTGCGTAGGTCGGGGTGCAATGTGATGCTTGCTGCAGTGGGTTGCTGCTTCACCCGCATACAAAGGTGGCTTCCAGCCATCTGGCATCGTTTGGAAGGCAGCGGCTCTTCTTGATTGTGCCTAAGGCGGGCCC